GGGAGTGCTCTGTCTGAGAAAGATGGCTTCTGCAGTATGGAGGATGACTCAGCTGAGGGATACTGGCAGCTCTTCCTTCAGTTCACTCACCAGAGCCACCAACTCCAGGCTCTTCTCAAGCATCTCTAGTATACTCTTCCCTCCGTCTGCCAGAGCCCAGGCTAAGTGGTTGAAAATGAGGTTTTGTGCATTGGCCCTTTAAGAGACTCTTTGAGTTCTAGCTGTTTCTCTCTGACAGACAGAAACCCTGTTGCTTTTCACATCTGAATGTTATCTAGGTACCTTTTAGACTCTAGTGCTATAGGCTGGGGAGCCCAGCTTGGGGTTTAGACCCCACACTTCTCAGGGTGGTGGGCCCCCAGCCACTGAAATATCTTTCTAGAACTTTAGCTTCTCATGCCTCCTCTGCATTCCCTACCAGTCACACTGTGGTAATGTGGCTTCTATTGTATGTCCATGGTTATAAGGTTTGTCTCTAGGTAGTGTTCAGTTGGCTTTTCCAGATGATTTATCTACAATTTAGTGGTAATTCGAGATTGGTCCTGGGAGGAGGTTAGTGTAGTGTCAACTTCCTCCTCTACCAACTTCAGTATCACAAGGGATTTTATTTTGATCTGGCAAGAAGTACTGCTTTGCAATATTTTAAAATTTATTATAAAATTTTGGAGGCTTTTTTGTTTTTAATGGTAACTCTTTAGCTGATATAGTATTTTCTTTCTTCTGGCATAACTTTTCTTTCTCATTTTTATTTTTTGAATCACATTTGTTTTCTGATACTGCATCTCTTTGATTGTTACTTAATTCTAATTTCTATGTTTTTCCCCATTTTCTGTCATAATGGACCCTTGAATTATAACCTTATGGGAAATAAGTTTCACAAATCCATAAACCAGTTAGTCTTGATGATATTCTAAAATAACACAGATATGGAAATGAGAAAGGTGATAATCACAATAGCACAGTTTGAGCTCTTCTAGACTTTAAAGTGCTTGTAGACACCAGAAGAAACTCTCAATACAGAATGCCACTGATGTGATTTTATATGTGCTACACTGTTGCTCAGAGTTATGGCTTGATCCTGTAACAATAGGGCCCTGTGCTTATGCAGAAAGCAGATATGAGGACTCAAAACCACTGTGCCAGAGTGCAGAAATCATATCAGGAGCTTGAATATGCCAAAGTATAAACTTTGATACATTTCTATAATGTCAACAGAATTCTTGAATAGTGGGGAAAGCTTTGTACTAATTATAATGTTGGGAGAAAATCCAATACCGGAGTAAGTGAAAGGTGCTTATGGAATGTTATTACACTTCACAAAGATTCTTAAAAATATGCAGTTATGAATAAATAACTTTCCAACATTGCTCTTGAGAGGACCCAGAAGCCATACTGAGTTATTATTTATTTAGAAATACCCTCAGGAACTGAGTAAAATATAAAAGCTAAGAGGATAGTGAAGATTCTGTACCATGGGAAAGAGATGGTATTAAATTATCCCTTCTTATCATGTGTTATAGTGTTTTGTGATTCTACCTGGTATATAAAAAGCTGATGCCTTACTGCATCATAAAAATGGGTGTAATTAAAGCAGTCTTTAAGGCAATTAATGATTATAAAATACTAAAATAAAAATTATTAGCTAGAACAGGCTTTCAAGATTTTGGTGGTCTTTTATGAGGTACAAAAAAGGCTAACTGATATTTATTGAATACTTACCTTCAAAAGGCAACCACTTAAAGCCTCTTCAAATGGTCCTGCAAGCAAAGAGCAAATAAAGAAAACATTCATTCAATAAAATCTGTTAAAAAATGGTAAGAAAGTTGAGAGACTGGGGTATTTCCTCCAGCTCCCAATAGAAGGGTTTCTTCCCCAAAAGAATAGGATGGAAGTATTTCTCACACTGCCCCCTGTGGTTGAAAAGTGGAGGCTCTCTTCCTCTTCACAGGTCTGATTCATGGAATAGAGTTTCTGCCTCCAGCACAGCTCACTGAGAATACTGGGGCCATGATAATCCTTGCCCCACCTCATGGTTTTGTGCTTGCAGAAATAAGCCAAGAGAACCTCAGGCTGCTGCCTCTACCCACACCTCACAGTCTACCAAGCATTCAGCTCCTAGAGCAGCAGTATCAGAGAGAAGGTTGCCTTTAACACCACTTCCAGCTCCATAACCTTAAAAATTTTGTCTAGGGGAAGAAGCAGTTGTAAAACCCATAGCTCTCAGTCTCTTGCCAAATATATTGCCTTCAGTCACAAAAAATCATGGATATATTTAAATTTAAAGAGCTCTCAACAACAGTAGAGATTATGATCAAAGGCAATTAAGAGGAGATTCAAGATGCTAGGTAAATTATTATGTCTCAAACATTGTTAAAAATACTAGAGCAATAAATCATTAATTACTAGAATTCAGCAACTAAGGTCAATCTGTATACTGTCTGCAGGAGATATATTTTAGACTCAAAGATACAAACAGAAGTAAAAGAATGGAAAAGATATATCATGCAAACAACAACTGTAAGAAAGATGGAGTGGCTGTATTGATAGAAAACAAAATAAAATTTAAAATAAGAAATATTGCTGGAGATAAATGCAAATATTTTATGACTATATATACATATACACATATATGTATATGTATATATAGAATAGTATAGTATATAGTGTGTATAGTATACACATATATGTGTATATGTATATATAGAAATATCAGGAAGATACATCAATCACACACACACTCACACACACACAAGGTATGTCTGGTAAAAGTCCAACTATTGTTGGTATGACAAGAACCATTGATATGACATTGACATAACCTGGCAGCCAAGGAGAGTGGACTGGAATGTGAATGTGTCAACAATGACAACTTTACTGTACTATTGGGGGGGGGGCGGTAGATGCCATTGAGTGAGCATGTATATTGTGTTGCATTGCATTAAAAATAACTGAGAAAGTAGAGCAATAAATCTGCATCAAATTTTGCATTAAGCTTGAACATTTTTCCAAGGAAACTATTTGGATTATTCAGAAGACCATAGCTATGAGCAATGGTTGAATAGCAGCTTCATCACAACAATACACCTACTCATGCATAGCATCTTATGCAGAATTTTTTGGTGAAACATCAAATAACTGGTGATTCAGGCCCCCTACAGCCTAAATACAGCAACTTATGGCTTTTCCCAAAATCAAAATCACCTTTGAAAGGGAAGAGATTTCAGACCTTCAGTGAGATTCAGGAAAATATGACTGGGTAGCTAATGGCAACTAGTAAAACTGTGAGGTCCCAATGTGCCTACTTTGAAGAAGACTGAGGCATCATTGTCCTATGTGCAATGTTTCTTGTGTCTTGTGTCTTCTTCAATAAATGTCTCTATTTTTCACATTACATGCCTGGATGCCTCCTGGACAGACCTCACTCATATATCCTAAAGAGAGACTCAAAATACATGAAGCAAAAACTGGCATAACTGAAGGGAGAAATTGAAATACAACAATCATATCTGGAGACATTAGTATCTATTTTCAATAATGGATAGAACAACTAGGCAGAAGATCAACAAGGAAATAGAAGACTTGAACAATACTTTATGTAATGGACATTTATAGAAAACTCCACACAATATACATTCTTCTCGAGTGCACATGGGACATTTTCCAAAATAAACTATATGCTAGACCATCAAACAGATCTAGTAAATTTTAAAGGATAAAAATAAAACAAAATATGTTCTGTAACCACAATAAAATAAAATTAGAAAGCAATTGAAAAAAATTGGTAAATTTATAAAGATACGGAGATTAAGCAACACACTCTCAAATAACCAATGGGTCAAAGAAAAAAATCAGAAGGAAAAACAGAAAACATTTTGAGATGAATGAAAGTGAAGATAAAAGCTGAGGCAGAGCTTAGAAAGAAAGTTTTCATTGTAAATGCACAGGTTAAAAAATATCTCTAATCAATAAACTTAACTTTCACCTTAAAACACTGGAAAAGGGAGAACAAATAAAACCTAATGCAAGCAGGTCTTAATTAAACCTAATGCAAGCAGGTGTTAATTAAAACATAAATTAACAATAATAAAAAATTAGTGAGACCAAAAGCTGCTTCTCTGAAAAGGTCAACAAAATTGACAAACCTTTAGGTACATAAACCCCCAGTTACTAGAATCAGAAATAAAACAGAGGACATTACCACTTTCCTTACAGAATTTTTTAGGGAATCATAAAGCAATGCTACAAACAGTTGTACGCCAACAACTTAGATAAATTAAGAGAAACGGACAATATTCCTGAAAAGTACAAACTACTAAAACTTCTCCCAAAATAGACAATCTGAATAAATCTACAAAAATAAAAGGATTGAATTGGTAATAAAAAATAACCCACAATCAAAACCTGAGGCCCAGATAGTCCCACTACTGAATTCAAACAAACATTTAAAGAATGAATGCCAGTTATCCACAAACTCTTCCAAAAAGTAGAAGAGGAAAACTTTCTAACCCATTTTATGAGGTCCATATTATCCTAATACCAAAACCAGACAAAGACATCACAAGAAAAGAAAACTAAAGACCAATATACCTTATGAATATGGACACAGATATTCTCAACAAAATACTAGCAAACTGAATACAGCATCATATAAAAAGAATTACACACCATGACCAAGTGGGATTTAACTCAAGATATGAGGTTGGTTCAACATCTGAAAACTAATTGTCATGATACATCATATCAATAGAATTTTTAAAAGCACATGATTGTTTCAACAGGTGCACAAAAAGCATTTGACAAAATCTAACATCCATGGTAAAAAAAAAGAAAGTACTTGATAAACTAGAAATAACAGGGAGTTTTCTCAACATAATAAAGAACACATAAAAAAATTCACAGCTAACATCATACTTAATGGTGAAAGACTGGACATTTTCTGCCTATGTCAGGAATAAGACCAGGATGTCTATCCTCACCACTGTTATTCAACATTGTACTCACCATTTTATTCAACATTGTACTCGATGCTCTTAGCGGGGCAATTAGGCAATGAAAAGAAATAAAAAAGCTTTAGATTTTAAAGGCAGAAATATAACTATCTATATTTGCATTTCACATGATCTTATATATATATATATAATACCCTAAGGAATCTACCAAAAATAAACTATTACACTAATCTGCAGGTTTCAGGATATGAGATCTATTATAAACATCAATCGTATTTCCATACACTTGAAATAAATGATCTGAAAATTAAATTAAGAAAACAATTCCATTTATAATAACATCCTAAAAATAAAATGAACAAAAGACATACAAAGGTTATATACTGAAAATTACAAAATGTTGTTGACAGAAATTAAAGATAAATAATTGGAAAACATCTGGCATTTATGGATTGGAAGAATTAATATTGTTAAGATGATAATATTCTTTAAGCTGATCTAAAGATCCAACACAATTCCAATCAGAATCCCAATTTACATCTTTGTAGAAATTGACAAGTTGACTCTGAAATTCATATGGAATTACAAAGGACACAGCATAGCAAAAACAATCTTAAAAAAAAGAACAAAGTAGAAGAACTCACACTTTACAATTTCAAAACTTACTTCAAAGCAACATTAATTGAGCAAGTGTTGTATTAACACAAGAGTACACATGTAGATTAATGGAGTAGAGATTAGTGTCCAGAAATAAATGCATACATGTATTATCAATTGATTTTCAACAAGGGTGCCAAGATTATCCAATGAATAAAGCATAGTCTTTTCAACAATGGTGCTAGAAACAGCAGGTAATCATATGGAAAAGAATAAAGCTGGACCTTCGCATTATATCATATACAAAAATTAAATCAAAATAGATAGAAGCCCTAAGTATAAGATCTAAAAATATAAAACTCTTAGAAGAAAATATAGGGAGGCATCTACATGACTTTGGATTTGGCAAAGCATTCTTACATTTGACACCAAAAGCATGAGCTGCAAAATAAAAAAAACAGATCAACTGGGCTTTATTAAAATTAAAAATTTTGTGCTTCAAAGGTCATTATCAAGAAAGCAAAAACACACTCAACAGAGTGAAAGAAAATATTTACAAAGTATATATCTGATAAAAGACTTGTATCCAAAATACATAAAGAACTCTTATAATTCAATAACAGTAAGACAAAGAACCTAATTTTTTAATGGACAAAGTATCTGAATACACAATTCTTCAGGGAAGAATGGCCAATAAGCACATGAAAAGATGCTCACTATCATTAATCATCAGAGAAATGCAAATTAAGACTACAAAATGAGATAACACATTATACCCACTGCTCGACTAAAATCAAAAAGTCAGATAACAATTGATGGCAAAGATGTGGAGAAATTGGAACCCTTGAACATTGTCAGTGAGAATGTGAAATGAGGAAGCCTCTTTGGAAAACATTCTGAGTTATTTCACCTGTTAAACATAGAGTTACCATCCTTCCACTTCTAGGTATATACCCAAGGGAAATAAAAAAGTGTTCACACAAAATGTGAATGTTTATAGTAGTATTTTTCCTCATAGCCAAAAGGTGGAAACAGCCAAATGTCAATCAGCATTTGAATAAATACATGGAGAATGGATAAACAAGTGTGTTATACCCAGACAATGGAATGTTATTCATCCCCCCAAAAAGATTAAAGTACTTATATATGCTATAACATGGATGAATCTTGATAAAATTATGGGAAGTGAAGAACACACAGACACAAACGACCACATAGTATGTGATTCTACTTATATGAAATGTTCAGAACAGGAAAATCTAGAGAGACACAAAGTAGATTGCAGGTTGCTTAGAACTGGGGATTAGTGGAAGAGAAACTGAGGGGTGATAACTAAAGGACACAGGATTTCTTTTTGAGGTGATGGAAATGTTCTAAAATTGACCATTCTGATGGTTGCACATATCTGTAACATACTAGAAATCTCTGAAGTTTATACTTTACTGAGGGAATTGTATGGTATATGAATTATATTTTAATAAAGCTACTTTTTAAATAAAAACCTGTCATGAGCTTAACACAGAAGTAAACATTTTATATAACAATATCTCATTCCTATGTTCCCATTTTGCAGGTGAGGAAACTGAAGCTTAACAGTTAAGTAGCTACTCCCAGGTCATGTTCTGAGGAAGTGTCAGAGCTGGCACTAGAGCAGAAATACTTACTCCCAAATCACTGTCGGATATATTTGTTGTATTTGAGTAGGTAGTAAAATAATTGCTTTTCCGTGTATTTTACCATTTAATTCTTAAAACACCTGCTGAGATGTAGATATCTCTTATCTTAGTTTAGAAATTTTTAAAAACCTGATATTTACCCAAATGATGTAAACTGGCAAAATTTAAAAGCTGTTCTTTCTACTGAAAGTCCCATGCTTACTCCACCTCACCAGAGCTCAATGTCAACTGCCTCCACAAAGGTCAACAGAAAGTAGTCCACACCTACCCAGACATGTTGAGTGTAATACTCATATTAAATGGAGACTTTTAACTACATGCAAAAGGAAAGTAGGTCCAAGTCTAGAAAATACTTTTGCAGTGGAAATAATGTTATCAATGCATTACTTCAGTTTATTTATGATTTTTGGTCTTAGCTTAGATCACAAATATGCAAGGACCACCCTTCTATAAGCCAAATTTTTCAGTGCATTAATTCAATTCAAGAGTAATGTGTTTTGAGCCTTCATTCTATCACCACTTATTTATTTAGCTGAATTGCAGATCAACTTAAAAAGTACATTAACAGTGAAATAATCTTTTTCAGGAAGGCAATTATACAAAACATGTCAGTAATTTTATAGAAAATAAAATGCCTATTTTATTTTCTTAAATTTGTTTTCAGAGATTTCTGAAGTTCTGGAAATGCACATCTCTTGGTGGGTTCAAGTCAGCTCCCTTGAAGCTTTCTAGAGTTTTCCTAAGAACAACTCAAAGAACAATAAGCAGATCCTAAGACTGGGAAAGTCAAAGGGGTAATGAGCAGCAGGAAGCTAAGCCAGAGGGGCCTTCATTATCTTATCATGCTCTCTCCTCCCTCCTCATCCTGAGAAATAACTGAAAGGCAGACAGAAGACCACCTTCAAGGTAGAGAACCTGCATCTAAAAGCAGAGAAAGTTCAAATTCCCCTTGAATCTTCCTACAGTAGGTCTTGGGCAAGCACTCTCATTATTGTCCCAGGTTAGTTAGTGCTCAGGGTATAAAGAGTTGATTTCTGCTAAATATCATATCTTTCTATAGAAAATTATAAGAACTATATTTAAGGGCCACCAGCAAGACAAATCTTTTTTTGACACTATGGTGGCCTGCAAGAGCAGATTTCATGACAGCAGCTTTCCTTACATGCAAAATATGTTATTTTAGATCATTGCCTCAGCAAGGTACCTATTCTTAACATTCTTGGAATGCCGAATGTAATCTGATCTTCAAAGAAGAGGGGAGAAAAACCTCAGGAGAGCTGATTAAATACCTGTACAAGTACTGCTTGAGAGATTTAGGGTCATTTGGCATTTTCCCAGGAAAGTCAATCCTTCAACTTCTGGCTTGTCAGATTTCCAACTTTAGACTCTCCCTCAATTCCAACTTATGCAAGGATGAAAAATCTTTAAGACCCTGAAAGCGTTCATAAACAAAGAAGTCACCGCCAGTTAAATGAACCAAAATCCAAATGCCTGGGTTACCTGTTCTTCTGCTCTTCTCAGTGTATTGATGAAAGAAGCAATCAGTTTTTTCTAGAGCAAAGGGACAGTGCTTCTTGCAGTGCAAATGCCTGTTTCATTAGAGCCCACACAGAGTGCCCTTTACTAGAGACCTTTTGTTGGCTTCAGCTTTAGCCACAATTCTGAATAAGTTTGAGAGAAATGATGTGCTAGAAAGCATTTCAGGTATCCATTACTCAGAGACAAGACAGGAACCATTCTTGCTGGGCAAGGAATGCCTGCAAACTCTAATAGTGAAAGAGAAACCTGCTTGGCTCATTTCCTCTCCCTTTTCCAGCTCTGTTTTCTGCAAATGTTTTAACATAGCTTATCTAGACAGCAGCTGACATAGGCCACTGATTCACTTTGGGTTGAAAAAATGATCTCTTGAGGATAACAGTCTTAGTCTGTAATTGTAGAATTGTTACTCTTTTCCTAATACAAAACAATCAACAGAAACAAACATATGAATACAGTCAATAAAAAACCTCTAAGATAGTCGATTTCTTTTACTTAAAAGTTTTAATTTATTGATTCTTTTAGAGAGAGAGGAGGAGGAGGAGAAAAAGTGAGAGAGAGAAACATGGATTTGTTTTTCTGTCTATTCATACATTCATTGGTGGATTCCTGTGTGTGTCCTGCCTGGGGATGGAACCCCACAAGCTTGGTGTACAGTCAGTGCTCTAACCAACTGAGCTACCTGTGCAGGGCAGTTTCTTTTACTTTTAATTTTAGTTGGTTAAACATGACTTGATGATAGGGTGATGTAACTTTCAACTGATGGCTGTTGTCCTCCCAACTTTTCCTAGCTTTGGCTTTCCTCTAAATAAGAAGCTTTTTGTGACCACAAATCTGAATGTCATCTTCCAATCCAGCATTTGTTTGTGCTACTGGTGATTTTTTAAAATCTCCTGCCATAGTCAAATTTATTGAGATGGAGAGTAGAATGGTGGCTGCTAGGGCCTGGGGGATGGGAGGTTATAGAGTTATTACTTAAGGGGTATAGTTTCATGTTTGCAAGATGAAGTGGGTCCTGGAGATGGGTGGAGGTGATGATTAGACAACAAAATGAATGTGCTTACTACCACTGAACTATATACTTAAAATGGTTAATATGGTAAATTTTATGTTATCTGTTACAATAAAAAAATTAGAAAAATATCTTCTAATTTCTATGCTTATGTTCTCCTAGGCTAGACAGGTTTTGTCTGATCATACATTTAAATGTCAGTTTCAATAACTTAAAAGAGCCATAAGATGGAAATGTTATAAAAGAAATTTCACCTCAT